GAATAATACCTACTTCTTAAAAATGTGCCAGTTTGGGAAATTGGATACTTAGGGAGGGATCTGCCACACAGTAGGATTTCAGCACATTGTGGCTGTTATTAAAGTAAGCCAGACAGATGCTGAAGGTCTCCCATACTAAGAGTTCTCAGTTTATCCCATAGGTAATGAGTAACCAGACCTATAATATGTGCAAGTATATTTTATAAAAAATTCTTACTTCTTGAAGGCAAGAAAACTACTTCATTGTATTTTGCAGTATTTCTGAGCACCATGATTCTGTTATGTAGCACAATAAACTTGAATTGATTGGGTTGGATTCTATGCCAGTGTTCACTTCACCCCTAGATATCCAAATCAAGTACTTCTTAACCTAGACACTAATTTTTATTCAGATTTGAACTCTTTAAAAATAGTGGTGGAAAAAATCATGCCTTTCAATGTATTTTCCAAGTGATTGTGTAGTTATGGGAAATACAGAATTGCTCAGAAACACATGGAAATAAAGCGTATTTAACTACTCAGGCAGCTTGTTATGCCACTAAATAAGCTTTCCCATCTTGTTTTTCATTTAGTGAAGCATTAATTTGGGATATAATTTAAAACTTAACTGCTAGAGGGGATTATTGTTTCAGTATTATTTACGTGTGATCTCCCTTAAGGCTGGACTTGTGACTCTTTTGGTGGTTGTTAAATACCAGAAGTTTTTTTAGTATTTACATGATGTGGTCTGCCTGAATAATTTGAAATTAGATAGCCTAAACAAGGATAAGCATTTTTGTATATTTTTATATCTCTATATTCTCTATCAAACTTAATACCCTTACATAGCACCTTCTTCGGAATAAGCAATTATTAAACATATTAACATATTTAAAGTATTGTTAAATACTTTATGGCTACATATCCCCATCCCCACCCCCACCCCCAATTTCTATCTTGTTCATGTTATTTTTCTGCCACTTTAGATTATTTCCTAACGTTGATTTATTGTTTTAAAAAGTACATCAATTGTGGCTGGGATCCAGATTTTATCTCATAGATCAAAATGGGAGAAAGCAGTGTAATTCCCTAGTCTTTGTTTGATAACTAAGTGTTGAAGAGACTCTTACTATGTAATTGCTGGATTGGAGAGGCTGAGAGAGTGGTATTTCAAGAAATGTTTTGGGAGAGAGCGTAGTCAGCAGTGTTATATGCTGTTTTAAAAATCCAGTGAGACGGAGACTGAAAAATGTACATTAAGTTTGGCAGGCAGAGTCTTTGGATATGTTAAAACTGTCCCAGTGTCGTAGTGGGGAAGGCCAGGTTGGTGTGCGTTGATCAATGTGCTGTAGTATTTCCGCAAGCTTGGTTGGGCATTTGGGGGGTGGGGAGCTGAGGGGATGAGGCAGTTGCACTAAAAAGTTAACCATGGTTAAAAAAGAAAGAACGATCAGGTTGAGGTAGAACTTTCAGTATACAAGGGAGAGAGGAGATGATGGGAACTACAACTTCTCTGTTACTCTACAAAGAAATACGTAGACACCAGCGTTCCCTTTTACTCTTGTATTTTCTGTATTCTCAGAGAAGTGCTCAGCTCCTCATGTTTCTCGTAAGTTTCTCTTTTCATTCTTTTCCCATAGCTTCACCCACTAGCTGTTGATCCCCGGCCCCTCTCCTAAGCTCCAATCATGAATTTTTTAACTGCCAGAGAGAACTCTTTAACAAATTGTCTCATCACTCCTCAAAGTCAACATGTTCAAGTAAACTAGTAATTTCCTTTTCACGCTGATATAATTTATTAGCATCTCTATTTCTTTCATTAAAAAATCCTTCCAGTTACTGAGGGTCTATTTGTGTCTTCCATTGTTTCCTCTGTCTCTTTCTCTCTTCCCCACTCCATTGTTACCCCCCCACCCCCACCAATCCCTGCTCCCTAGACTCAGAATCACTGCGCTGCTCTTTGAAAATTTATTTCACCAAATGAATTCATTTGGTATGCTTCATTTGATATGGTGTTATCCATCCATAAAATCATGTATTATTTTTGATGTTTCTACTTTGCTTTCCTATTATTTCAGGAAAACAACACAAATATAAACTCAGTTTCATTATATTTAAATCTACTGATTGAACTATAAATAATAAAAAATATTTTATTTTAATTTTTGAATTGTATTTTAGAGATTAAAAACAAGCACTTTTAAAAATAGAGCTTCAGAACTTAATGAAGAGATAAACTTTCATTTTATGTGGATCCATGTTTATTTTAAAATACTACTTCATACACTAGAAAATCTTTGTTTTTTGAATATAGTTGTTCATAGTACAGTGGAAACTAGCATAATTACTGCTAAATCTGAAACTTTGAGGTGGTATTCTGATGAACACTCATAGTAAAAATTTTAAGATGCTGGCATGCTTTTGCATTGTTGAAAAAACACCTACATCAATACTGTTGGAAAATACAGCATATTAAGTATACACATCTTTAATTTTCTTTTAATAGATAAGGGGAGATGTCTTTTTGTGTATATTAGAGACTTTAATACTTTAAATTCTCCTTTCATAGATTACCTGCAGAGCACTAAATATCCTAGAGTGAAAACTAAGGAATTTCTGTCTACTTTAAAGTTAATTGAATTAACAGGTAAACATTTTTGTTTTGGCTTTATTTGAACAGCTGAGCTTGTCAATCCCCATGAGGAATCTTTTTTTTTTTTTAATTTGGGATCATCATTGATGCTCAGCCATCTAGAGCACATCCAACAGTGGAAATGAAGCCGAAGTGTGTTGCTATTGTGATTGAACTACAGAGACTCCTGGTCACATTTTTTTAACCCTATTGATACATAACAAGTTTGATAGTTACTGGTTCCAAGTTATACCAGAGTCTAAGGGAGGAAGAGGCATAACAGTAGTCAGACACAGACAGACTGCAATGACAAGTGACAGTCTACAGTCTGATACGAAAGAAGAGATGAGAAAAATAACCAGAAGTAGTCATTTCAAAACGTATTTCATGACACAGCAATTCTACTCCTAGGTATATACCCAAGATAAAACATATCCACACAAAAACTTTTACACAAATATTCACAGCAGCCTTAGTCGTAATAGCCAAAACATGGAATCAGCCCCAATATGCATCAACTAATGAATGGATAAAGAAAATGTAGTATAACCATATAATAGAATATTATTTGGCAGTAAAAGAGTGAAATACTGATACATACTGTAACATGGATGAAGCTTGAAACGTTATGGTAGGTAAAAGAAGCCAGACACAAGGCCCCATATTTTATTATTTCATTATTCCATTTATGTGAAATGTCAGAGTAGGAAATGCATAGAGACAGAAAACATGATTGCCGGGAGCTAGAGGACAGGGGAAATGGGAGGGACTGCTAATGTGCACAGAACTGCTTTTTAGGGATGATGAAAATGTTTTAAACTTGATTGTGATAATTATCCAACTTTGTGAATATATTAAAAATCTTTGACCTGTGCACTTTAAATGGTTGAATTATGTGGCGTGTGAATTATATCTCTAAAGCTGTTATAACATAGTAGATTGGGCAATTAATTTTTTTTAAGTGGTTCATTTTTAAGTTCTTAGTGTTCTAGGACTTTTCCATGTATTTTACATAGTTGAAATTATAGCTGTCTGAATGCAAACACAGGATTAGTTGAAAGTTTGATTATTTTTCTCATCATTAAAAAACCTAAGTAAAATAATTTTTTAAAAATACTGAAATTTTTGCATCTAACTTATAGTAATGCTTCTTCTAGTGCTTTAAAGTCTAAGAATTAGTGGTGGTTGTATAAAATATGGAATCTAAGGACTGATTAGGTTGATAGCACTTTGAAAAAGCATATAGCAGTAATGCAGTAAATTGAATTAAATGAGTGTACTGGATAACAGATACTGGTCAAGGAAAAAAGGGAAGTTTGGATTATGACATAGATTTTTTTCTGTTACATGGAACTTGCTACAGCTCATGTCTGTGAAACATTTTAAGAATTCACTAGAAGGTATGAACCACCTAAGAATGGCCAATTTTCAGGTTAAATGATAATTTGGTTGGCTCTCATGTATTTAAAGAATTAGGGTGGAAACACAGCAGGATTCTGTTCCCTGCTGTTGAGCTATGGGGTCAAGGAAGAACTATGGGGATAGTTTCTAGGTCTAGACTATTTTCTGTCTCCCAACACTTCCCTCCACCCTTCATGACCTGTGTAAGGCACTGTCACTGGTTTGGAAATTCGTCCTGTGCCTTGGGTGTGTTGGGACTGAACAAGAGCTGAGAACCAGGGAAACAGAGAGAGAAGGTACAGAACAAAAAACTAAGCACAGTAGGATCAGATGTGAAACTGTAAAAACCTGAGAAGACAATGCTAGTTGTGAAAATGCGTGGTATCAACCAGTTCATGTCTGAATCTGAGAAGGACTGCGAGGGAGGAAGTGAAGAGCACTGAGTGGCAGGCTGGATGGATGCAGATGAGGAGTGAGTAAAGGGAGGAGATGTGAGCGGATCTCGGGGACCATGGGAATCCTGCCGTCCTGGGGCTTCACAGGGAGAACTGTGCTCCTTATGAGGAAGAGGAGTTTTAAATTGTGAACATTGGATTTCAGATGCGGGAAGGATGCCAGCAAGGCAGTATGAAGCTGTGGCTGGAGGGAGAGGCAAAGTCTGAAGTGACTGGCCTTGCCGGCCTAAACTTAGGGAACGGTATTATTGTGTCCTCCATAGACCACCAAAATGTAGTTAACATTTGAAATTATTAGAATGGGTTTACTGTCATGATAAAATTTAAATTTTTCAAACTCTGAATAGTTAAGGTTTTCGTCCACTTTATTGCTTTACATTTTCCTCATGTAAAATATTCCAAATCCCTTGATTCTTGGAAATCTATGTCCTCCTAAACATGGCTACGTGTATTTATTGATATTTGTTTTTATCACATGATTTTACATTTTGACTAATTCTTAAGCATAATTCACATTTTCTTTTAATAACCAGGAACCTTTTGAGGATGGCTTTGCAAACGGGGAAGAGAGTACTCCAACCAGAGATGCTGTGGTCACATATACTGCGGAAAGCAAAGGAGTTGTGAAGTTTGGCTGGATCAAGGGTGTATTAGTATGTACATATAGACTTAATTGTAAATATAAAGCGTTCCTTTTTATTATAAAACTTTCCTGATATTTTCATCAATTTTCAAGAGAACTCTTCTTTCTCTTTTTCAGACTGTTTTGAGGGTTTCATGAACAAATTAATAACTTGTGCCTCCTTTCCTTGTAGATGCTAATTTAGAAAAAGGAAATGTGCTATATTAATCGAATTATGCTTGATTACTTCTAAACTATATTGTATTGCCTCTTGTGAAACTCACATATTGTCCCTTTTCAGAAATTAAGTATGAAGTTGTTAAACTGATGGAGCATCAGAATTGAGAAAATTGAGCAGGCAGTAGAGCTGAATTACATATACCACTTCTTTCTTGCTACCACATTCTCTTTTGGAGAGAAATGTTTAGAAGTTAACAGGCAACAGAATAAAGGAGAAATACTTAAGTGTTGAGGTCACTTCAGTAGACAGGTTCAGGTAATTAAGCTTCAGATTTATTTCTGTTTTTCAGTGTTCATATGGTCACTAAGGATTTGACTGGAGTACACAGGCTGAAGTAACCTTCATTGGTACTTTGCAAGGGCTTAAGTAGATAGATTTGTACTGACATTTAGGGGAGAAGTAGAGGGAAAATCACAGTTTTAATAGTAACTTTAGTGCCTAATCAATAGAGTGAATGTGAAGCTCCAGGTGGTATTGTTTGCCTGTTCTTAGATTTTAGAACATAGCCTTCTAAAATACTATGTATGGGCATAATAAATAAAAGTAAAAATAAATTGGGGAAACTGTCTTACAAATAGCTTAGATTTTTGAATGATGTGTGAACAGTTGGTGTTTTGTGTTAATATTAAGCAATACTTGAATTTCCTATAGAAATCATGAAATGAGGAATTCAAAAGAATAAGTAAAAATTAATTTTAGTTGTATTGATAAAGGGGAGCATGAACTGCTCTTTTTATGGTTGAAGTCTTAAAATATTCCTTTTAGCTGTCTTGTTCAAGTTGCTTCTGCTGATTCATATAAATGTGATACATACACACACACTTGCATGCACACACACATCCACATATTACATTATACTTAGCTCACATTCGACCTCTCATTAAGCTCTTTAAAAATCTATTAAAGAAAGGGTGAGTGAGGTAAATAATTTAAAACAACTTTGTGTAGTTTTTAAATTGTGTTATCCTAGTTCGGGCTTGGTTAGCACTTCTGTGTTCTATTTGATACTTTTCTTCATCTCTGACTTGGTTTCTTTTTCTTTCTTAGGTACGTTGTATGTTAAACATTTGGGGTGTGATGCTTTTCATTAGACTATCTTGGATTGTGGGTCAAGCTGGAATAGGTAAGTGAAATTACCTACTGTTCCATTCATTTGAGAATGAATAAAGTCGCTGTGTGCGTGTCTTGGCTCTGAACCTCAGCATTCGAGCAATCAGTCATTCTAAGCTATGTTCTCCTTTGAATCAGGTGGTCTTAATGTAACTTTTTCCATAATTCTGATTTGACTTTTCTAAAATGAGATAAAAATGAGGTAATTTGTAAGTTGTAAAGTAAATTCATTATACTCAGACTAATTAGTTCTCCTTATGCCAGGTTTAAGTAGGAGTGGTAAGTGTTCTCAGTGTCTTTTCTTTTTCCTTAAAGGTCTGTCCGTCCTTGTAATAATGATGGCCACTATTGTGACAACTATCACAGGATTATCTACTTCAGCAATAGCTACTAATGGATTTGTACGAGGAGGTAAATTCCATCTTTTCACATCATCACCAGATTACTGGGACTAAGTAAATTGAGATATAAATTATTTTTTTGTCTTAAAAAGTATTTGAATTATTTTTTACGTTAAAGAAGCAACTTACCAGTTCTGTATAGGCAAGGAAGTTGCTACTAAGCACTTTAAACTAGCATGTTTGAATATAAGTATATTCATATTATATATTCTTATCCCTCCTTATCCCTATATGTATTTTTATATTTATATTCAATATAAAATTTTATATTGACCCATATACAAACATGTATACTTTAAATTATTTAGGATATTCAGTGTTATTTGGTGGCAAGAATGGAGCTCGTCACTGGGTTTCTTCTTCATCAGGCTGCCCCTCGTTGCCTCCTTCTGGGCTTTAGCCCTTGGATTGGTAGCATGCATCCTGCATTTGTCAGTATTGTACTGGTATAACCTCATCCCTCCCCACAGGGAAATTTAGGCAGAGTTCTTGCCCCATGATCTAACAGCTTGTATGAATTATACCTGGGGCTCATCTACTCTCTCAACTCTAGCTGTCTTCTGTGGAGGGCCTTTTTCATTAGAATCCACAAGATCTGCCTTGGGAAATTTTACCATCCCCAGGGAGAGCACCCAGTGTTGATTTAAGCTTTCCTGGATGAAAGTTTCCTTACCTAAGTTAGCCCAGCCAAGAAATTGTCCTTTAGGTAATTATTCTACATAGTAAGTGAAAAAGGAAAGAGAATTAGAATATTCCAACTTTGTAAACCCTTTATTCAATTAGCATATCTGTGAAGTATTATTTCCCAACAAAATGAATCTGAATCTCATAACATCTATAGCTCCAGGAAGCATTTTATAGAATGTGCAGAAGAGAGTGGAACTTACTAAATGATGCTATGGGGTGATAGCAAATTTCAGACTGGGAATCACTCTGAAACAAGGAATAGTTCTTATTCAACAGAACTTCAAGGAACAAAAAAGACAGAGAGGGAGTTATGGTTTAAAACAAACTTTAGGAGACTCATAGGTATGAGTTCGTTTGCTGTTCTTAAGGTTAAACTACTTCGTCTTTCAGTAGGATAGGACTAAGAGTGCATGGGTTGAATCTTCTCTAGCGGGCCACTGAGGACTAATTGTGAGTGCCTCCCTTGAAAGGCTACATAAAGAGATGAAGAATAGAACCAGAACTATCCAGAAGGTCAGGGTGCCAAGGATTCCATAGGAGAAATGGAGGGATACCATGGAAATAGTAATGTCTGGAACCCATCTTAATTTTTTATTAGCTGAAAGTTGATTATTAAGGGAATTAATAAGGAAATATTTTTTTACCTGAAATATTGCTTAAAGGCTGTGGATGGATGCTCTGATGAGTATTTCAAGTTGAAGAGCTCCCTTTTAAACTTGTTAACATTGTTACCATAAAGAACTTTCTTGAGGTAGTGCTTGCCAGTTCATTTACCTTGGTTCTTAACTCAATTATAGTATTTATATTTTACTAATATTGAGTAATAGTGTATTTTCTAAGGCATTTCAGTACTTCCAAGAACTGAAACACATACAAATGTGTCTACTTTTCCTAGTGCTGTGTGTACTTTTTGCCATAGGTGGTATTTAATGTTACTATTTATTACTAAGTAATCTTAACATTGACTTTAACAGTACATTTTATAAATTAAACAGATACCAATCTACAAAAGTATACTGCATTTTTAATATGAACTAGCTGCACTTATAAACGAATGTAATAATATCCAATGATGAAGTCTAGGATTAAACATAATATGGAAACATTCAGGGTTGCTAAAAAAAGAAGAGTCAAAACTTAGAAAATAAAAATTACTTTGTTTCAGGCTTGATTAGATCTTAGTAATGACATTTGGGTTACTGTTTAAAGCTCCCAGCAGCTGGTCAGAGAGTCATCCCATCAGTTCTTGGCCTCCAAAGAGTGAGAATACAGTGCCGAGTAACTGAGGGAGGCACCCCTTCACCTGTGTCTCTGGCAGAGCCCTTGCCTAACAGGCACAGTTCATGCTCTACAGATTATTGCAGCAGGCCGGGAGCCCAGAGTGCTTTCCTATTCTGCCAATCCTGTGACTCTTGAAGACATGGATTTTACAGAAGTCACTTGGCGCACATGAGACAGGTGCTGTACTCAGGTGGTTCTGCTGGCTGGCAGCCACTTACACAGAGGCCTGCAGCTCCTAGACTGCACAGATCAGAGTTCTTCCATCCTCAGATGACTAATCTGTGAATACAGACTGATTTAGGAATAGAGGACAATCACATGCAGTCTGGATTTTGAACCATATTGTGTTGTATGAACTGAGCAGTAGAAGGGAAACATTCTCAAATCACTTTTGTTTTGGAGCATTACATTAAAAGCAGAGGTCAGTACACTTTGAAATAAAAAGCCAGGTTACATCAAACCTCAGACAGGTACTTCTGAAAACCTAAAATCAATATAAGCCTGCCTATTCCATGACTGAGATGAAGTTTTTTATTACTTGTATTTCAGTCAATCAACAGATAATTATTGAGCTCTTGTGACAGGCACGGGTTTGTAACAATGAAAGTCAGACAGTATCCTATTTTCCTGGAGTATAGTGGCAATTATTTTTTGAAACCGAACTGCTAGGCATGATTCCATAATCTTGACATACATTATCTGACTTAATGAGACACTGTCATTAGTCATGTTTATAGTTTGTGTGGGTGAAGAGAGCAAAAATGAAACAATTTTACTAATTTTTTTCAACAACATTAAATTTTATGCAAATTCACTGGTGAATCTTTAAATGTCTACAATATCTCGGAATTACCTTTCTGTACTCTTATCTTTTTTTTTCCCTGAAAAAATTGAAGACCTCTTCAATTTTACATATAGATAAAGACAAATATTGGAAAACCTTAAGATTTTTCACATGTTGTAAGTGACCGAAAGTGCCTTCTATATTGGTAAAAAATCAGATTATCATTAATATATTTTTTGTTAAGTCCATTACATAAACTTCACTTATTCCTATTATCACCAACACGGAGTTCTAAGTTAGAGTTCAGCTCCTTAGCTCTTTACTTTTATTGCTAATTTTTTTTCAAATTGTAGCTTTTCAGATCAGTGAAACATTTGAAGAAGTGGTAAAAAGCAGTTCTGTAATAGTTGTATTAGGAGGTTTTATTAGACTTGAACGCTATTTTCGGCTCATTGAAACACTTTATATGCCACAAATAGCTCAGGTGTGAACCTGGCAAGTAGTTATAATTTTTGACTTGGGGTTTTCTCCTTGATTCACTTGGTGACATTTCAATTTCGCCAGTCTTTAATGATTAAAAAGTACTTTAACTTGGTTCCTGTCATTGTCTGCTGCAGAATTAGGGCTATATGTCTTTGTTCTTCAATTTTAACTTATTAGGGAGATCACTCATAATGAAACTAGAGCACCAGGAATCACAGTCCTGGTCTGAAGATGCCATGTTTGTCACTTCCCTTTCCCTATTTGACTTAATAATGGCAATAGAATAGAGGAAACTTACGAAACTAACAGGCAAAGAACTCATTATTGCATATTTGTGAGCAAGGGTAATAGAGTGTATTTCCTAGAATAATGACCAGAATGGATGTTGGATCCATTTGGATGCATTGTAACCGCATTGTATTCCCAAAACTGTTCTTCGGAATTTTACATAAAAGTGGCTTTGGACGAACTGTTTAGTGACACTACAGAACATAGGAGGTTTACTACTCTGACACACAAAGGATGCTGGTATATTTTCTAATCAACACCAGTGAGCTCTGAACAGTAATTGCTAGAAAGTGTTCTTTCTCACTGATAAGTTTATTGCCTTTGTGTTGTCTTCACCTTTTGAATTCTTTCTTCCTTAATATACCAATAAAACTTTTATTTTACAAAATTTCTACAGACCTATAATTTGTATTTTAAATGAAACTACCTTTAAACTACTCTTGGAAGGAAGTTTGTTATATCACAGGATACATAGCTGACTCGTATTATGTATATCAATCATTTCATCCAAGGGAAATAAAAGATGTCTGGTTTAAAGTTTTCATTGTCCTGTTTGGTGGGTAACAACTCATTGAAGCTTTATATTAGTAGAAATTTTGAATCTTTTGATGATCGAATAATATCAGAACTTAAGTAAATAAAGACAAAAGTATTGATAATTCTATCAGTGTATTATACAAACCAACAATTAAGTTCCCACCATTCTTATTTTTTCTGATTATAAAAGTAAGACATATACATTGTGAAAAATTAAGTGTGAGTAGTTTAAATATTAGACTTAAAAATCCTAGCATTTCTATCCCCAGTGGTGTGGGGGGGGGGCAGGGGGAGTGGAAACACTAATTGAACTGTTAAAAATATATTTCTTCAGATATTTTTCATTTTTTGTTAAGGTATAATTTAGGTAAAATTCACTTTTTTTGGTGTGCAATTCTGCAAATTTTGACAAATATAAATAGTCATGTACCTATCACCACCACAGTCAAGATAGAACAGCTCTCTCACACCAGAAAACTCCCCTGTGCCCCCTCAGCTCTTCTCAACTACTGATCTGCTTTCTGTCCCAATAGTTTTGCATCTTTTAGAATGCTGTACAGATCACATGGCATGTAGCCTTCTCAATCTGGATTCTTTCACTTATCTGAGTGCTTCTGAGACTCACCCACCTTGTGTGTATCACTGGATGATTCCTTTTAACTTCTGAATCTTATTCCACTTGTAGACATACCTACATTTGTTTCTCCATTTCCCAGTTGAGGTGTTTTTGGCCGGCTGTAATCGTTTGCATAGTGGTCTCGTATTACTGAGATAAATGTTAAGGAATGGAATTGCTGGCTCAAATGATAGGTGCATGCTTAACTTTATAAGAAAGTGCCAAACTATTTTCTAATGACTATCATTTTGCATTTCAACTGGCAATGGATGAGAATTCTAGTTGGTCCACTTGCACATACATCTGCATTCTCATGGCCACTGGTAATTTTCAG